CTTATGTTAAGTGTTGAACAGGACCACGGAAGGATAAGGATATGAGACTCACTGACAGTTGTTGTAACCTAGACCTTTAGTGATTGATGCGTTCTCTTAAGCTGTAAAATAATATAAAATAGGCATATATTTTTATTTCTTATTTATTTGATTTACCAAGTGATTCCTATTCTGTTAGGATGACATACGAGGTATTTTGGTAAGAATAATTATATGATGTGCTAATATAGATTATTTACAGTCACTATGTTTTAGTGCGCTGGATTGATGACGTCCCCGAAATGAGCTCAGAAAGGAACCTTAGGTTAAACCCTGCAGGTAGACGATTGTCTGACATAATGTGTTAAAGGCTGAGTGGTACTAATTTCGGAAATGAATAAGAAGTTGATTAATTAATTTGTCAGTAATTTAATTAATCAACGGACGTTATATCTTAAACATAGGGAGGTAAATCGATCAATCAGATTAATATTATTTAATCATGAAGGCTCGATTTTATTGGTAAAATAGTGGCTAAATGGGGAGAGCAATAATATTACTCTAGTGGGATGTTTTATTATTTAATTTCATTAAATAGGAATTAATTTTATTCCATAATGATTAATTAATTAGGAGAATAAAATTCCTACTAGAATCTTCTCTTGGGATTAGGAGACTTGGGAGTCTTCTAGAAGATGAAGGTTAGTGGGAAATATATTTCCTACGTTATATTAATTAATTGGAGTAAAATTAGGTTTCCTAAATTAAGACTTAATTCTATTCCATGTTTATTAATTTAATTAGGAAAGGAAATCCCTACAAGGACCTTCTCTAGTGCTAGGAGACTTAGGAGTCCTCTAGAAGAGAGGGATTAGTAGGAGATCTCCTTCCTAGATTGAGTTAGTATTGGTTTAGAATTAGGAATCCTAGGCCTAATGGAATAAGCCAATATTTAGCACCTCCTTAAGGTCCCTAATGGAGCCTATATATACACCATGTCTCATACTCTTCTACAAGGATTGTGTTGGCTTTGTTCGAGAGTTTGGGAGATCCGATTAAACGCTCCACCAAGTTTAATCGGAATAGATGTTTAGGTAATCCATTAGAAGGCTTTTTGGTACAATTGATTGAGCTTTCTAAGAACCATATTTTCCGGTCATCATCATCACCTTGTCCCCGCCGTCCGCCGCCGTCGACAACCGTCGGAAAAACCTATCGCCGCC